CAACCCAAATCACCCCAGGATTCCATGATTCTTTATTGGGACACACAGGAAAACTTCAACTTGAAAGTGAATAACTACAGGCACAAGGTACCAAAAGTCTCTGTTGGAAATCAGGTGAAATGAGCCCTGTCATTTAAATTGTGTTTCCCATCTTTGTTTGTAAGGAAGATATGCACCTTTCAATTCCCAAAAAGCCTAGAAGATTCCCTTATCTTCACCTAGTCCATGAAAAAAAAAAAAACCAAACCAAACAATCACAAAACAGTATTCTGAAATGTTAAAAACTGCATCACCAGGCCAGGCTGGTGTGTTTTTCACAGATTTGTGATTGTGGGTATTTTCTTGCCTTACCTGCAAAGGGAAATCATCATTTCCAAGGGCCTTTGCAAGAGGCACGAGGTGGATTCCTAGACCTGTGTCCTTCATTTAGGAATAATGGCCATTGCCATGGGGCTGCCATTTCCAGAGGAGATGCCCATTGTGGGAGTGCTGGCTGCTGGCAAGCAGTTAATGAGAGAGCTTGGAAACAGCTCAGGGAAAACCCAGCTCCCTGCAGGATCCTGAGGCGTGGAGGGAAGAGGAAAAGGAGCCAAAGCTGGGTCCAGCTGTGACCAGCACTGATGTGGGATGGTGGAGGTTTCACTGTCACTCCATGGGCTGAGGGAAGCCCCTGTTGGACCCAGCCCAGGGGACTTCATCAGAGCTTTGTCATGGAATCCCAGCCTGGTTTGGGTGGGAAGGGACCTTAAAGCCCTTAAAATCCAGGCAAACATGAATTTCAGATGTGTTTGTGCCAATTGCTGGCAGGTTGTGCCACCCCCACACTCACCATGTGGCTCCTGTGAATCCCACCCCACACAGCTCACTTTCCCTGAGGTGCTGGATCATGGAAACAGAGAATCATGGAATGGTTGGGGTTGGAAGGTTCCCTAAAGCCCATCTCATCTCTGCCATGGGCAGGGACACCTTCCACCATCCCAGTTTATTCCAACCTGTTCTTGGACACTTCCAGGGATCCAGGGGCAGCCACAGCTTCTCTGGGGAACCTGTGCCAGGGCCAAACCACCCTCACAGCCAAGAATTCCTTCCCAATATCCCATCTATCCCTGCCCTATAGCAGTGGTAAGCCATTCCCTGTGTCCTGTCCCCCAGGCCCTTGTCCCCAGTCCCTCTCCAGCTCTCTTGGAGCCCCTTTAGGCCCTGGAAGGGGCTCTCAGGTCTCCCTGGACCCTCCTCTTCTCCATTTGACCACCCCCAGCTCTCCCAGCCTGATCCAGAGCAGAGGGGCTCCAGCCCTGGGAGCATCCCCATGAGCCCAATGCCCACTGGCATCCAGGACATGCCCATTTGCTGTCTGGGTACAGTTCCAGGAGCAGGATATCTTTGTATCAACATGTTGGCAAGTTGAGGGAGGAAAAAATACGTTTTCTGTAAATGAACTAAATTAATCATGTCTTGAAATGAGTTTACTCTTGTCGGGGAGCAATAAGGGCTTTGTGCTTCCTGAGGGACCAGGAGCCAAAGGCAACAACAAGGCCAGGGGGACAAAGACCTCCCCAGCCCCAAAGCACCTGAGAGAGGTGAGGGCAGCACCAGACACGTGGGGAAGTGCAGTCAGAAGCCTCCACCATCAGAGGGCTGTTGGTCCAGTGTCAATCCATGGAATCACAGAATCACTGGAAGGGACCCCCAAGGATGAGCCAGTCCAACCCCTGGCCCTGCACAGACACCCCAACAATCCCCCCCTGTCCCTGAGAGTGTTGTCCAAACCCTCCTGGAGCTCTGGCAGCCTTGGGGCCGTGCCCACTGCCCTGGGGAGCCTGTTCAGTGCCCAACAACCCTCTGGGGGAAGAACCTTTTCCTGAGATCCACATGTCAGGGTCAGGACCAGCAGAGTCCGTGGTCACTGTGGCAGGAGAGTGTAAAATCTATCAGAGAACACACACTGTGCAGGCATCATGCGAGTTCAACTGCTGGCCCAGGGTGTTATCTTGGTGTTAATTATACTAAAACCATCCTGGTCCACCAGACTTCAAATACACAGCATGCTTTTGAAGCAGGATTTGACTGATAAGTTTGTAGGCGGCCTGGAAAATTTGTGACTGTCACTTTATACTATAAGATCCCAGTCTCCTTTCACACAGGCAGATTCTTCCAACACAACCCTTCTTGGGAGGGGTCACTCCTTGAGGCTGAGAGCAGAGATCTCCCCACAAGCCTCAGTCTGGGTGAGTTACATCAAATCTCTACTTAAAAATGATTCCTTTTTGCCAGCTTTAATATAATTGCTTCAATAATTTCTTCAATGTAGTGCACCAGCCTGTCTTATACTATCCCACTGGTAGTTTTAGCCTTTATATTGTGTAGTTAATAATTCTGGTTAAGATCTTTTGTCTGATCATTTGTATAAATAAATGATCCTTTTTATATGATTATTCTCATTTTGCCAATCATTAAAACAAAAATGGTTCAATGGCAATTCTACAATTCCTTAAATTTGAGCTGTTGTCATAATCCGAGGCTAAGATTGGATACAGCCACACCCAGACTCCTTCTGAGAAGGGGTTTAGAATTCTGAGGAATCCTTACTGCACCTTGTGAACTCAACAACAGGGCTTTTAAAAAAATTCTATCTAAGCCTTCCACTCCCAGCCCTGACAGCCAGCCAGGGAATGGCCCCAGCTAGGCTGGGACCAGCAGACTGACAGCAAATCTCAAGTGGGGACTAAAGGCTCAGTCTTGAGCATAAATGCAGCCCTTTGGGCCAACAGGGAGGGCAGGAAGGAGGAGGCTCCAGGTGAGGGTGACCCAGGCCATTGGTGCCCTCAGAGCCCTGACAAATCCTCATGGAACACAGTGCAGTACATCCCGTGCTGGAGCAGGGAGCAGCAACCTCCATTTCTGTAGAGTTTATGTATTTATCACATATATCACAGATATCACAGATAGATATCACAGAACATGCTGAGTTGGAAGGGACCCACAAGGATCATCGAGTCCAACCCTCAGCCCTGCACAGAACCCTCCCCAAGAGTCACCCCCTGTGCCTGAGAGTATCAATATGTATCTATAAAATCATGTATATATGATATAAATCCTATTTATATACACAGATAATATATATGTATTATTTCTATATCACCAATCTGTTGTTAAACCTTTTTTTCCATAAAACCCCTAAATCCTGGGCTCATGGGCTAAGGACATGTCAGAAAAAAGAGTAAAACCATTGTGCCTCTGTACTACTTATTTTGGAGAAACCTAAATATGTCCCAGCTGTCTCCAATGTGGAATATTTCCTCTCAAATGAGGCTTCTCATTTGCTTCCTGAATTCCTGAGCTGGGCAATGCCAGTGGCCACCCCCTCCCTTGCCATCCAAGCCCACCCTGCTGGGAGCAATCCTGGCTACAGGAACGTGCAGCCGGAGCCCCTTTGGCTCTCAGCTCCATCTTTTGACTTTCAAAGCTCCCTTCAACCACACAAACCCAGCAATTAAAGGAACCAGCTGGTTCTGGGACACAAAGGCTGACAGTGGTGCCTGACAGTACACAAAGGACACCCAGGAGGACAACAGAGAACTGGCTCAGCTGTGCAATGTGGGGCTGGGGAAGGGGGAGAACCCCCCTCACCTCGAGCTGGTTCAAAGGTGGAGAGGGGGGCAATTAGAGCTGCCAATTGCCTTCCCTCCCCCCTTTGTCACTGCCAGCCCAGCAAGGGGGTGACAGTGCAGCCTGGGTGACAGTCCCTGTCCCTGGGACGTGTCGCTGCTCTCCTGCACCTTTCATCCCAGAGCCAGCCCTGGTCACTTCCTAATTCCTTCTTTCACTACTTAAACACCTGCACCTTATCCATCCTCCCAGACTGTTTCATTTGAGGTGCTTTTCCTCCCAGTCCAGGAGCCAACACAGCTCTGAGCACAAAAATCCACCTCAGTTACCTCCAGCCAGAAAAACCAAACCTTGACGTGTTCCCTGCACGGGGATCTGCTCCAGACCAGTGGCTGGGCAGCAGCAGGGACCTTCCTGAAGACTTCCAGGTGCATCTTTTTCTCCTGCCTGTGGCAGGAAAATGGCAGGAATACCCTTCAAGGCAGAGGTATTGAAGAACAGTGCTGGGGAAAGCTTTTTCTTAAAAAGGGGAGAGTTTTCCTTAAAAGGTTGTTCCCTCAGAGCACTGCCCAGGCTCCCCCGAGCAGTGGGCACAGCCCCAAGGCTGCCAGAGCTCCAGGAGGGTTTGGATGATCCTCTGGGGCACATGATGTGACTCTTGGAAATGGTCCTATGGCTGAGGGTTGGACTGGTTGATCCTTGTAGGTCCCTTCCACCTCAGCACATTCTCTGATTCTGTCATGGACTGACCTCTGCAGCCTGAGCCCTGTCGCTTTGCTGGAGCTGCTGTTATGAAACAAAATCCTTTGTGTGCAGTCCCTGCTGTGCAGAACCCATTTGAAGGGGGCAGCAGGGAGGAGAACTGCTCTGTTCCTTCCTGGCTGAGGCTCCCTGGGGCAGGGGGATGCTCTGGGGGAGCAGCCCAGGAGGGAGAGGCTGCTCAGAGAACCACAATATCTTCTTCCCACCCCTTCTGCCACGTTCTTAGGTTCCTCTAAACTGGGACACTGAGCCAGTGCAAGGAGAGGGTTGAGAAATATTACTTACTTGGCTTAATAAGTAAGTTTTAAATAAGAATAAGTCACTTAGAGTTACACTGCTGTGTGATTTACCAGGCTGCTTTCTTGGCTTTCCTTGCTGAGCATGAGTAGCTGGATTTGCTGAAGCCTTAGGTCACAAGCTCTGAACTTTCACCCAGATGTGCCTTTGGTTGGAATACAGTTCATTTCCTCAGTAATTCTTCTGGTAGCTGGTGCAGGCTGTGTCTTGGATGCAGGATGAGAGTAATGCTGAGAACACACTCATGTTTGGGTTGTTGCTAAGTAGTGCTTGCCCTGAATCAGGGACGTTTGGATTTCCCATGCTCTACCAGCACAGAGCAGGAGACAAGAAGGCTCCAGCCACCAGCAAAGCTGCAAACCCACAAGATAAGAGAAGTCAATATCTGTGTGGACACAGGGAGGGAATCCAAGAAGGTGTTAGGAGACTCCAGACCAAAAATCCCCATTGGACCAAGAGGTGTGTGAAGAGCACATGCAGAGTCTGTAAGGGCAGGAAATCCAGGGATCTCTTTGCTCCAGTCCCTGTTTGAAGGCACCAGGTCAAGTTGTTTCTATTGCTGGAGCACTCAAATATTAATTTTTTTCCCCCCTGGAATGGGCTATCTGAGACTCTGCTGCAGGGAGAAGAAATTTCTTTAACAGTTTGGTGACCCCAAACCACCACCACTGGATCTGCAAACATCCACTGCCAGCAATGTGTGAGTTCACATGGGACCTTTGGAATGGGAAGCACTGAAGGGTGAGTGTTAAAATTCCATGAGCAGATTTGGTGAAAATCCTGTAGTGGTTTTAAGTCCTTCTCTATGTTGGGGTGGGTTTTAGTCCCTCTCCTGCTGCAATTTGCTTCCCAATGTGCCTGATCAGCACAAGGCACACGTAGAATAGGATTCAAATCCCTCTTAGTACCTGAAAATGATGGGAAATAGAGCCAGCACAGAGAGAGAGATGCCCTTGACTGAGGTAACACAAAATTGGAGAGAAATCTTTGGCGCAGCAAGTCTATCAAGAAAGCACACGAATATTTCCTGTGGAGAAGATTAGCCATTTACAACTAGAGATGGAGCCCTGGCAGACCTCTGAGGGACATTCAACCAGCACAGATTCACTTTACACATCAGCTAAAGGCTGTGTTCCCAGGACAAATGGATTATTGGTATTATGGGATAATTGGGCACAGGACCACCCTAGAGAATGTTGGAAGGAAATGGGAGTTCCCAGAAATGAGGAGCAACAAACCTACGAGGAGCTTGATCTGCTCTAATTAGTGAGGAGGTCATCTGCAGCCCCACTCACCAAAATTTGGGCACAGCTCAGGGGCACAGGCTCCACCAGAGTGTTTTGGGCACTCTCAGATTCTGAGCCACTCCTGGAGATACTGAAATGAAGGGGTGGTATGGGTAGGGTACCTGTACCTGGCAAGGTCTGAGGAAGGCCATAGGATGGCATTGAGGTGCATAATCCCCCTGGATTTGGTGCATAAGTGAGGGCATGGCCATGCCCTCCTCTTTGGGGAGCGTTTCTGATGTATCTCCCATGCTGTGACAGCCCTTGGTTAACATTTCCAGCTCACAGGGTGTTATGGACACCCACGCCTCAGCCCCCCAGCTCCCCATTTTCAACTCTGCTCTGCTGCTGGAGCCAGGAAATCACCAGCAATCCTTCCTTTGGCTGCATCCCTGGCCAGATGCTGCAGAGGGGTGAGGCCTGGCCGATTAATCTGTGCTCAGAGAGCCTGTTGGATTAGTGCTTCATCTGCTCTCGACATCTGCAGCTGCAGGACAGCCCCAAATTCATCAGCTGGAAGTCGGAAGGGAGCAGCAAGGCTGGTAAGAGCTCTTTTTTAGGGAGGGTTGGTGATTGAACTGCCTCTGTCAGGTAGCAAGATGAGGGAGGTTTTATGGGAAAGGTGGTGGTAGTGCCATTATCTTGGCACTTCCAAACCTGTCACACAGTTCCTTGGCTGTGTCTGTGAGTCCCAAGTGTAAGGGGGGTGTTGTTGGCTGTGAAGGGGGAGCAAGGTGGTGTAGAGGGAAAGGGGGGGCTGGAAGGACCATGTGGAGCAGGCACAGTGAAAATGTGGCAGTCCTGAAGGTCTCAAAGCTCCAGTTCCTTGTGTTTGGAGGTGGGGTGAGGATGGCCCTGGGAAATGAGAAGTCTGTGCCACACCATACTGCCCAGCCTGGGGGGACAGGGGACACCTCCTGAGGGGACTGGGCAGTGCCCTCAGGGAGATGGGAATGGCCCCAAGGGAGTCCAGGAATCCAAGTGGTTCTTTGAAGGGGGAAGGAAGGGACAGTTTCTGAAGCTGAGCCCTTAGAGAGCTGGGAATGGCCCTCAAATCACCCAAAGAGTCAAGTGGTTCTTTGAGGGTAAACACAAGGTGCTGCCAAACCAGAGGGAGAGACATGGAAGGTGTTACTGAGGATCTACCTCACATGGTTACTGTGATTTGGGCTGGAAAATCACATCATTCCAACCCCCATCTCCCTATCCAAAACCAGTCCCTCCCTGCTGTTCTGCTGACCTGAGCTGGGCTTTGTTACCCTGGACTTCCCTCCTTGCTCTGACTCTGCTTTTTTCCTGCACTAACTGTTGCTTTCTCTTCATTACAGGGGTTTATGAGCCTTTTATTTGTGCAAACAGGCAGCACGGGGGATGAGAAGAGAGTCCTGAGCAGCCATGGAGGGGTTACAGCTGCGGGTAAGGCTCCCCTCGTACAGATCCCGACCCTCCACCATCCTCCAGAGCTAAAGGGAAAGAAATCCCACTTGTGTCTGGTGAGCTGGGAATGACTCCCTTGTCTGTCACTGCGGGGAAACTCCAGGAGGCAGCTCAGGATTAAGCCCAGAGAGTGCCTGAAGTACGGGTTTATCTGCCCAGCTCCCCTTCCCCGAGCAGCCCGGCCCGGAGCCTCTCGGGGACCGTCCCTCTGCCGCTTAATCGCCTCGTGCTCCAGTGGCAGGAGGAGATGAGAGCGCTATAAATAGGTGGTGAAGCCCTCTTGGTTTCAGCCGTGATTCACACACATGGCACAGGAGCATTAGGGAGAATTAACATCCAATCCCTCGGGCACTTTCCTGAGTGCAAACGCCGTTCTGTGTCCCACGTCCCCATTCCAACCCCCCCGTCCCATCCCTTAATCCCCCTGCCCGGGGGGGTGTTGGGCAGCACCATCGGGAGGGCTTGGATGGCTCCAATGGACGGGGAGGCTCGGAGCGGGATTTTTGGGAAGCGGCACCTGCAGTGACCCGCGGGTGAATTTAGGGGATGGTGGGACTCCGCGCTCCCCCCTGCCCGGGGCGGAGTAGGGTCGTTGTGTTCCTCACACCCCTGGACGTGGGACAACGACAGCCTTTGGGACTGAGACACTCCTGCTGTTGGTATGTGAGGGGGCTGGGGGTCTTCTGCCTCTCCCTGACCGGTGTTGGGATGTTCCTGGACCGACTGGTCCTCGGTGGGTGGACAGCACACCTGGGTGGCCCATGGGAATCCCAAATATTTACCCCTCCCCATCCTAATTTTTCAAAGCTCGGGGGGGGAAAAAATGTATCATGCTGACAACCTACCCCCCTGGGGAGCTGCGTGAGCTCGTTCTGCATGTATTTGCATTTATTTGCATGTGTTTAAGTGCTTGGAAGCCCCCCCTCGCCCCCCTCTGCTGTGTTTGTGTGCGAGCAGAGAGGGTCACTGAGCACCACAAAACCAGCCGAGAAGGAGGTGAGACCAGACAGGCCCTGGAGTGGGAGGTGTGAGGAGTCTGTTTATAGGGATTTATCCATCTACTTCCCTCACACCCTCCCAGGTACTGGGAAGCAGTGGTGTTTTTTCTGAAAGGTGGTTTAGAGGGTAGAGCATCTCCTGAGAGGGGGTGAATATCTCTCACACTTTTGGATATCTGGTGTCCCATCAATAAAGTCCCAAATAGTCCCAAAATAGTCCCAAAAAAAACTATCCTGTGATAGTTTCAGTCTTCCTGGAGACCAGCTTGTAACCAGGAAGGAACTAGGGAAGTGACCAAGAAGTATTCCATGTTATTCCTTTACACAAACTGAGTTAGATCTAAGGTGGTCAGGGAGACCTCCCTTCCCTTCTCTTCCAGAGAGGTTTGGGAACAGTAGGTTTGGGAACAGTAGGTTTGGGAACAGTAGGTTCCTGAGGGGAGAGTGCTGGGCTGGGTCTGGCTGTCCTGCTTTTCTCAAGGGAACTGGTTCTTTATTGTCAGTTCTTTATTTGCTGGTTACCAGGTTTTTCAATTGTGCATACCTGTTTTGTTTCTGTCCCTTTTTTTCCTTTTCCCTTCCCCTCTTTCCCTTTTGGGAGCGGTTTGGGGTTCCTGTGTTCCTATGTACATAGTTCCTTAATTGTATATCTGTGATATATGTAAAATATATATATATTTTATATAGCTTTTGCTATTCCGTTGGGGTTTTTTTCTTTCTTCTGGGAGGTTTTCTGCTGTGTTCTGTGGGGTTTGATGGGAAGCCAACTACAACTGGCTACAGATCCATGTCTCTAGTCCATGGCATTGTCAGGGTTTCTTTGCATTCCTACTAAATTATAGGGCAGAAAATAAAAAAGAGCCATTCAGGGCACTCATGATCCACAAGAGGTAAAGGGGAGGTTGGACTACAGGATGTTTGGACTAAAGGATGAGCTCAGTGTTGGTATCTTTGGGTCCTCAGTTAGTGATCCAGGGAGTCTGGAATCTGTGACATGAGGAATATACCAGAAAATGTATTTCCTTTGCTCTGAGGGACCCAGAAATCAGGGTTTCTCAGTGAAACAAGGGAAGAGGCAGAAAAACAGAGAAAATAGGTGGGGGAAACACGTTATTCTGATGGGACTGAACCCAAAAAAAGTCATCCCATGAACACTGCAGGGCAAAGAGGGCCCTGTGGCACTCCTTGCTGCAGGAAAACAGCTCTGGGTGACATCCTTCAGCCTACACTGAACAATAACAGGATGGGGGATTAAAGAGATCTCAACACACAGGCTCCTCCTGGGGCAGTGTGATCTCCTACCTACTAAGGCACTTCAGGAGGTTGGGACATCCAAACAAAAACGGGTTTGGTGCTAAAATGGCATTGCCCTGTTTAGAAAAACATCCCAGAGTGGAATATGGGCCTCGTGTGTCTGGCAGGCTCAGGTTGGGGTGGGCTGCAGGTACCTGCGTGGTCTTGAGCCACCCTTGAAGTTTGAATCGTGTAATGGAAGAACCTGCCTTCAGAAATTCCCGTGGGAATGTCTGAACAGGCCGAAAAGCTTCAGAAAGAACTGTGATGTGTTCCTGTTATTGTGCAGGAAGTGCAACCTAGAGTTTCAGCAGGGGCTGGAAAACGCAGCTGGATCCTTCCTGAGCCACAGAGCCGTGTGGGAGTCTGAAATTCCCTGGCTGGGACTGACAAGGCTCACCTGATTTGCAGAAGCTTTTGCCTGAACCCTCCTGCATCTCAAAAAAAAAAAAAAAAAAAAAAGGGAAAAGAAAAGGGCCGTGTGGAAATCTAAAGGGAATATTTCAATCTGTCTATCCTCCAAGTGAGTCCAGACAACCTGAAACAGCTTTGGAATGTGGACCATATTGGATGCAAATGGCAGCCCATATGTTTTGTATCATTAATTGCCAAACTTTCAAAAGCACCCTCCTGACCTCCTGCAGGCAGTGAAGGAGCACAGCCCAGGCTCAGGCACCTCCTCGTTTGTCATCTGTTCCTTGTTTTTCTTCAACATTTATCTAGTTCTGTTCCCAACCTGGATGGTCTCCAGTGTTGTGAGAGCTGCACACACTCAAAATATCAGCCAGTTTCCCAAAACGTGGCATCTGTAAACGCCAAGCTTGCAGATGGTGTGTGATGGGATGGGATTTACAGGCACAACATAGAAGGGTGAGGGCAGCAAATGGGGGAAAAATTCCATCATTCATCTAGAAAAGCTGGATCTGCTCAGATGAGCTAGCTGGTGGCTGCCATGAACAGATGCTGACTCTGGAAAAAAAGGGACTGGAAAGATATCCAGGATTAAGTCCTGATGGTTGAGAAGGGTGGAACTGAGAGCAGTATCTGAGAATCCTGTCTGATGGGTGTTAACCTGCAGGGAGGGGGAAGGCAGAAGGAGTGGTTGTGTTCTTCTACAAGAACCCACAAGGTAAGGATTACAAACCCCACTGAAAGGCAAGAAGTCATCTCTGGTTCCAGTTATCCCAACACAGGCTGGTGTGCCCAGCTCTGGTGCTGAAATTATTCCAGAATCCCAGACTGGTTTGGGTTGGAAAGGACCTTAAAACTCATCTCATTCCACCCCTGCCATGGGTAGGGACACCTTCCACTGGACCAGGGGGCTCAAATCAATCCCTGTCCCTTCAGCAGCTTTATTCTCTGGTGCATGGGGCCTCTCTCACCAGCTGAAATGCAGGAGAGGTGTTTTCTCTCTCTCTGCCCCCTTTTCTGCTTGCAGAAGGCTCCCAGCAGCCGGAGCTTCCTCAAACTCCCCGCCATGGAGGTGAAGTGGATCCATGTGTTGGTTGTCTTCCTCTTCCTGCTGTCTGTGGCAATGACAGGCTGCTTCCTGTGGCAGTACAGCCTCCCCAAGGTGGAGCCCGGTGAGTACTCGACTTGAACCTTGCTCAGAGTTTGGCACAGAAATTTGGGACACTCATAAAACCCTTTTTCCCCATTTTCCCCCAAAGAGCATTTCCCCAAACACACAAATTTCTCCAGACAACACATGAATTTCTTCCTCCTTGCTGGTGCAAGGACACAGAGGAGATGAACACTGGATTGATGGAGGACCACATAACTCTGCTGGTGTCCAGAGAAGCCCCATTACTTCTGCTGCTCATCTTTGGTTAACTGATACACCAGGGAGCCATTTGATTTTACATTCTTTACCTTTTCTGTGTTGTAAAAGTCACTCCAGCTTAGAACAGGTTTCTTTTACACCTTGCTAAGTGCTTCCTTTGCTGTTCCCCTAATCTTAGACCTTTGAACTGGCTTAAGCCCTTGGTTCACACTTGAATTTGTAGAATCACAGAATCCCAGACTGGTTTGGGTTGGAAGGGACCTCAAAGCACATCCAGTGCCACCCCCTGCCATGGGCAGGGACACCTTCCACCAGCCCAGGTTGCTCCAAGCCCCGTCCAACCTGGCCTTGGACACTTCCAGGGCTGGGGCAGCCACAGCTTCTCTGGGCAACCTGTGCCAGGGCCTCCCCACCCTCACAGCCAACATTTCCTTCCCAATATCCCATGTATTTCTGCCTTCTGGCAGTCTGAATCCACTCCCCCTTGTCCTGTCACCCCATCCCTTGTCCCACGTCCCTCCCCAGTTCTTTTGGAGCCCCTTTAGGCCCTGGAAGGGGCTCTCAGGTCTCCCTGGAATTTTCCTTCTCCGGGTGAATCCCCCCAGCTCTCCCAGTCTGTCTCCAGAGCAGAGGGGCTCCAGCCCTTGGAGCAGCTCCGTTGCCTCCTCTATTGATTACAGAAAACTCAACCAATAGTCCCAAGGCACTGTATGTGCAAGGATTAAATATTAAAGGATTAAATCAGAGTTTTAAGTAGCCCAAAGGTGACTTAAAATTCATGGTGAATTCAGAGGTATTTCACAGCCCAAGGTCTGGAAAGCATTTCAGACCCTACATTTTTGTCACAGAGTAGCAGGCTGCCTGTGGGCTCTCTAGGTGTCCATACCATGCATCTCCAAGATTTCCTAGTGTCATTTCTCCCCTCATCTCTAGTTCTGATGCCTCATGTTCACCTACTAAGCAAGAACACAGAGAAGCATCTGTTTGCAGCTCACAGAGCAGAGGAGCTGTGTTTATGAACACCTTGGGATCAGCTGGAAAAATAGTGCCTCCAAGTGAGACAGTTCCCATCTCTCAGTGAGTTTAAAGAGCTTTGCTCGCCACAAAAATTCCAGCTGTTTCTGTGGCACAGGCAGGATGCAGGGAATTCAGGGGACAACTAACACAGAAGGTGTGCAACCTTTCAGCTGTTGTGACAGTGCTGGAGCTCAGGGGACACTCACACTTCACTTCAGTACCCATTTCTGAGGTTACAAAATGCAAGGGCCAACACTGTTCTCCTGAACCCCAACTCAGACTTTCCTCCAGACATGGGCAGGGCACTTCCATGGGGATTAAACCCACTGTCAGGTGGGACTGTAGTCCCAGTCCTTTACTCTTCCAGGTTTAAGAGTCAGTTGAAGTCCATCCTATGCTGGAATAAGTGATAACAGAACATGGTGGTCCTGCAAGTCCTATTCTGTGTGAGACAAACACAACTCAGGATTATCCCTCTCCTGTGCAGAAGTGTCCTTCAGCTTTGGACAGCACTAGAAATCTCGTGGTGACTGGTGGGTGAGATTAAACCTTGTCAGTGTGTCTGTTGAAGTCACTTGTGCTCCCCCTGCAATGTTTTCCAGGCCCTTCTGTGATGGAAGTGAGATCAGAAGCTGTGCAGATGTGTCCCCGCTACCCTGAGCCGGTGCCGCTGGACCACCCCATCCCCATCCTGAAGGATGCCTTGGAGAAGGTCTGGGGGGATAAGGGAACAGAAGGAGGCACAGCTCGTGGCTGCTCTCCTGCAGGGGTAGAGGGGGGAATGTGTATTTTGCCCCTGAGCATCTCTGGGGAGGATATGGGGAATCGAGGAGGTGGAGAACACGTGAACCCAGAAGTGGGTGTGTGAAACTCCTTCAGTGAACATTCAGGACAGGTCAACAAGCAGTTCTCTCACCCACAGGGCAAGTTGTGATGGGGAAACATGATCACTTGTCCATTGGAAGGTCTGGTGAGCTTTTATCAGCACAAAATGATGGCTCCTGGCATCTGGTCTATTAAGTATCCTGGAAAGTAGTTGATTTGTGTAACTAGTTCCTTTTTATAAGTGACTGCCAATTCCTTATTTTCTTGCTTTGCTGGCTTTCCCCATGCCACAGTTTAAGAAGTACAAAGCTACTTGTAGGTTCAAGGGAGGGAGTGGAGGGGAAGGGAAAGAGGTAGAAGACCTGCATCTGAATGAAGATACACTTTTAAGGTGCTCATTCCTAAGCCCCCTTCAAACACCTGTTGAAGTTCCCCGTGCCTTATTCAGGCTGCAAAATGGGAATGTTTTCACCAGCCTCTTCAAAGAAGTGCCTGGATACTTCACTTCCCAAGAGTGCAAAAGAGGAGATTGGATGATGTACCATCGGGATACCCCTGATGGGATGTTCCATCAATATTCCCTCGGTGTGATGTCACATCAAGATTCCCTGGGAGTCATAAAGTGTCTTTGACATTTCAGCACTGACTGAACTTCTGACAGGCTCTAGGAAACACTGCAGCACTGCCTGGACTGTCTGGACCATCAGGACAGGACACTCCTGATTTTCTATACCCCTTATCCCATTCCCTTCCACCTTTTCTTTCTCACAGGCAGCAGGAATTCAGCACTGACTACAACATTCATGATGCAAGTGAATTTACAATGAAAAAATGGCTTTCCTATTTTATTTTGTGCTACTTCTCTAATAACCCTTCCCATCTGATTGACCTTAAGGCACTGAGCAGGTGCTTTCCCAGGAGCAGCCACCGGAGCCCCCAGGTTTTGTTGCTGGGAGCCCAGGAGCAGCTCTCAGCCCACGTGTGGGTGGGTGTGCTCAGGGCTGTTCTGCACACACAGCGCTGTATCCACACGGAATTTCAATTGCCAGCACTTCACAGCCACTCTTAGGAAGTCTCTGCCTGTCTCTGGGGTTACTGCAGAGTGTTTTACTGTTCAATCAGGATTAGTCAGAGAGGTGAGGGATGTGCAGAACATTGAGTGTCCACCACAGAGTCATCCAATCTCCTCTTTTGCACTCTTGGGAAATGAAGTATCCAAGCACTTCTTTGAAGAGGCTGGTGAAAACATTCCCATTTTGCAGCCTGAATAAGGCACGGGGAACTTCAACAATGGAAGAAGACACAGGTGTTTGAAGGGGGCTTAGGAATGAGCACCTTCAAAGTGTATCTTCAGAGGCCCTCAGGTTCTGCCTAAGCCTGTGGACACAAACACACACTGAAGGTCTTGCAGTACCTGAGACAAGTCACCATCCAGTGCCAGGCCAGCCCTTGGAACTGGGAATCTGGGCAGTGCCAGATGCTGTTATATTGCATACAGGGGAGGACCTTTTCCCAGCCCATGGCAGCTTGAAATGGGAGAGTGACCTTCACTCATGCATGAGGATTAAGGAAAGATTTCTCTTCTAATGGTAAATAGTTCTGTTTAGCAGAAAGGTCCATGTTTTCCTCAGAAGAGCTTTGCTAGTGACCAAATCCAAAGTATCAGAGCCAATGACACTCAAGTCTTGAAGAGCATCACGTACTTCTATCAACTTTCTGCAGGTCCAGGCAGGTCTATTTGTCACTCTCTAAGAAAACCCTAAGGTGGACCATGATTGTTGAATGAATCATAGAATTCCAGAATGGTTTGGGTTGGTAGGGACCTTAAAGACCAACTCATCCCACCCCCTGCCATGGGCAGGGACACCTTCCACCAGCCCAGGTTGCTCCAAGCCACGTCCAACCTGGCCTTGTGATGGGGCAGCCACAGCTTCTCTGGGCAACCTGTGCCAGGGCCTCCCCACCCTCACAGGGAAGGATTCCCATCTAACCTTGCCTCCTTCAGCTTAAGGCCTTTCCCCCAGTCCTATCACTGCATGGCCTTATAAAAAGTCCCTCTCCATGGTCCCCTTGAGACCACTCCACTGTCAGGAGCTGCTGGTGTTCCCAGATGGGCCACTGGTACATGAGGAGCAGAGGGCAAAGAACCTCTGCCAGAAGGACTTGGCACAGGTTGGGTGTTTCCACTGCTGCCAGTGCATCTCACCAGTCTACCCAGGGAAGAGACCCTGAGGACATGGCTCAGCTTGGCCTTTCTTGCCTCAAATACTGGACCTGGAAAGGAATTTCTTATGTCTCAACCAAATGAGAACATATGCAAGGTGATGACACAGCTTTGAAAAAGCCACCAAAGGGCAAGATCAATGTGTTCTGCCTGCAGGAGGTGGGTGGAGCACAGCTGGATGGTGAGACCTCCACAGCCCGGGCACAACAGGCAGCAAAGGGCAATCACAGCCCTTTGGTTGCTGTGTTGTTTCTCAGGTTGCAGTTTAACAGGAGCCTGAGCTCAAAGGTGTTTCATGGAGTGAAAAGTCTCATGGGATATTTGAAAAGTCGTCTTCTTGTACATCTTTGACCCTAAAATACTAGTGCAGAGAACAGATGTGCAGGGTACAACTTAAAAAGGAAGAATTTACAGTTATTGCATGTTGGCATTTGGTTTTAATCTTAAATATTAGAAGGATGAGCAACAGGTTCTTTGACATGTAGACCGAAAGGAAGACACTGGATAATTCAACATAAGCAATTCTAAGAAACTGTTAAACAGTTAAAATATTTTCTTTTGACAAAATACATTTCATAGAACCCCTCTGGAGTGCTCAGGAGTGAGGAAGGCTGGTGGTCTGGCACAGGCTGGATGCATTATAAGAGTTTTCAGTTGGGAATTCCTGGTCTCTCCTCGTTCTGCAGGTGGATTTGATGCTCAGGCAGAAGATGCACAGCTCAGGGCTGCCAGCCATGTCTGCCATCGTCATCTACAACGACACAGTGCTCTGGACAGGAAACTTTGGGAAGAAGAACATCTCCGACCCCTCCTCGGCTGTGCCCAACGAATACACCATTTACAGGTGAGAGCCCTGGCACAGGCAGAGAGCCAGGAAAAGGCAGATGGGTGTAACCTTGGCACGGGCAGGGAGTCAGGAAATAGAGCCACTGTCATGTGGCTCCTGCAGGGAGCACGAACCTCTCTTGAAACTTTGTGAGATGATGCTTCAGCAATTATCACTTGCTGGCGGTTTAACGAGTTACTTAGGATGTATTTATTGATTTTTTTTCTTAATTTGATCTGATAATATTTTAAATTACCATCCTGAAGAGCCTGAAAACATTCATAGGAGTGGCTCCATATTTTGAGTAGGCCTAGGGCACAAATCTGAAGGTTGAGAACTGGCACAGATACTGAAAAAAGAGAACAGAGAGGAGACAGGGCCAGAGGGTTAAAATATTAATTAAAGAAATAATAATAATAACAATAATAATATAAATTTCAGCCTAGGAAAAAATTGGGGTTTGGGGAGAGTTTCTACTACACATAAAATAGACCTGTACACTTATTCATCCTCCCAGTGTCATATTGGCTGTTATTTTTTAGGTGAATATAGAATCAAGCTCTTAATGTGTGCTAAAACCAAAAAAAAATAAGAATTTTCATTTAAAGATCTATTTTCAGTGAATTCTACCTGTGTTATCTATGAAACACATGGGCTGCACTCTGCCAGGCAATTTTGTTCTCAGAATAGACAGTTTTGGAAGGTTTCAGATCATCTGTTTCTTCCCCATCTGTAATATGGGACAAAATGACCTGCTGCTATTTTTCTACCAGACCCATTAGATGGTTTGGGTTGGAAGGGACATTAAAGGTGTAGTTCCAACCCCTGGAATCAGATCCACGTCCCTGGGTGGGCTCGAACCACCAACCTCTCGGTTAACAGCCGAGCGCGCTGCCCGGTTACGCCACAGGGACAGGCTGGAGGCAGCTCCAAACGTGCCAATCTGGCATTTGGGGACGAGGTTTAGGGGTGGCCCCGGGTAAATGGTGAGGCCTGATGATCTTGGAGGTCTTTTCCACTCTAAAGGATTCTGTAAGTCTGTGATTTTAACCGTAAAATTCCAATAAACTACCGGTAAGTTTTTGTCGCCAAAATCACGGAATGTGCTGAGCTGGGAGGGACCCACCAGGGGCATCCAGTCCAACCCTCAGCCCTGCACAGGACCATCCCCAAGAGTCCCCCCCTGTGCCCCAGAGGATCAACCAAACACTCTTGAGCTCTGGCAGCCTTGGGGCTGTGCCCACTGCCCTGAGGAGCCTGGGCAGTGCCAACCACCCTCTGGGGGAAGAACCTTCTCCTGAGATCCTTTTCCTGAGAACCTAAACCTGCCCTGACCCAACTCCAGGTCATTCCCTGGTGCCCTGTCCCTGGTCCTCACAGAGCAGAGCTCAGTGCCTGCCCTTCCTTTATGGTATTTACTAACCAATCATTTACAAAATAGGTAATTTTATGAATACTGAGTGACTAGGAAAAGATCTGCAGCCACTGCACTGCTGAGCACAGAGGTTGTCAGTTGATAAAGGTTCAGATTTAAGGATATTAATTCCAGCTTCTTACCTATATTTTTAACCCTTCCCTTCAGAATTGGCAAAGGTGTCACAGAATCACAGAATATACTGAGTTTGAAGGGACCCAAAAGGATCATCCAGTCCAACCCTCAACCCTGCACAGACCCATCCCCAGGAGTCACCCCCTGTGCCCCAGAGGATCATCTTGGATGATCAAGCACTCCTTGAGCTCTGTCAGCCTTGGTGCCGTGAAAGCTACAGTGATCTCATGTACCATCCTTCCTCTTGATTCATGAGCTTCTTAAAGTTTCATTTCTCTGCCTGTTTGCCCGTTCACAGAATTGCCAGCGTCTCCAAGATCTTCCCCACCATTATGCTGTACAAGATGTGGGAGGAAGGCAAGGTCACGTCTCTGGATGACCCCTTGGAGCGTTATGCCCAGAACTTTGTTATCAAGAACCCCCTGGGAAGGCTGAAGGACTCAGAGCAGAGGTACACAGCAGATGGGCTGGTGTTTCTGGAGAAGGGCTCGATGCCACCGAAGCCATCCCCCGTCACCCTGCGCAGGATGGCCAGCCAGCTCTCAGGTGAGACAGCCTTGCTCTGGGCCACCTCAGAGCCCACAGACACAACAGCCTAAATCCCAGGGGTACAAAAGGCTGCTGAGAAGGTGTTTCCCGGTATGGACCCTGCCCTGTGCCCTTCCCAGAGGTCAGCAGGATTCCTGGGAGCAGCTTCCCGGAGTGCTGAAAGGAAACTCTTGTTCCAGGCCACCTGCCAGGAAAGGGGCCGACCTGCCCTGTGGGCTGGGGAGTTGGTTTTCCCCTGGAAAGTGATTCAGATTCCTTACAATTTGGTACCACAGGTATCCCAGGGTTGGATTTAACACACACACACCAGCATTTCATTCCCAGTGTTCTGTTCCTCACATATCCCAATTCTTTATTCGCAGCATGTTCCCAACATTCCCATCATATCCCAACGTTAAGTTCCATCATATCACAAGGTTCTACGTGTCACATATCCCAATATTTTATTCCTGTCATATTTTATCCCATCATTATGTTACCACCACATCCTAGTATTTTATTCCCCAAATATCCCAACATCCCACAATATTTTATTCCTGGTGCATCCCACCATCTTATTCCTGAAATATCCTGAAACCAGGCTCTTATTGCATAACAGTGCCTTGTGCTCCAGCCCAGAGTGCTCTGTTTTTTCTGAGATGTAGAGTTGGAGGTCAAAGAGGCACCAAACCTCTTTGCTTTGAATAGAAAGACCTTGATTGATGAGCTAAATTTAGCTGCCAGTGTGGCTCCTGAGCTGGGATTCCTGAGCTATTCATGGCTCTGCACTTGTTGGCAGAGAAGTATTAATGTGCTGCTGCTTCAGAACTGGGTAACTGTTACATTAAGGTGGAAGGAGCTCATGGGATTCAGAACTTTAACCTTTCTCCGACATAAAGCTGTTAATACTTGATTGAGAGATTCCAAAATTTAAAATGGCCAAAGAGACTGTGCTGGTATCTGGTGTGGCATTTTGGTTAATCTCTGTAGCCTCTGCATTGTTCCAGGTTGGAATAAATGCCCTAAAATCAGGAGCCAAGATCAAAACAGCAGGTAGGCAAATTGCAGGATGGGGCACAGCATCCCCTGGAGCAAACCAGTATCAAAATAAGGGCTCCCCAAAAATGGAATGATGTGGATGAAACCTGGAAACAAACCCACAAACAGCCCAAAGTGACCAATGGCCACATCCCTGCCCAGCCCCTTTCCCTGCAGGCAGGGTCTGGCTCTACCCACATGTTGTCCCCAGGAATTACCCACCCTGCCCAGTCCCCTCTGACTCTCAGGAGTATCTGGAGCTGCTCTGGCTGCTCCTGTCACCCAGTGAGGTGTGAAGTGCACCCTAGAAATGTTGTGAGAAGCACATGTCAAAAGTGCACCTGGGTGCTTGTGCTGTGCAGCCCCTCCATTGCTTCCATCACTGCCTGGATTTGTGCCCTTGCTCAGCTCCTTTTGTGCTCCTATGCCTTTTTTTTTTTTTAGAATTTGGCCCAAATTTCCCAGACTGCACCAGCAGGACACACCAACTACCTCAGACCCTGACAATTTAGTAGAAGCAAAAGCACAGTTTCAAAATCCCAGCTGCAAATCAATTGAATGTTGAGGTCCCACATTGCATTTGCTGTCTGTCAAAACCCCAAAAAGGAATAGGTTCTGCTTGGCACCAGGATCAAAGCCGCTGCATGACACATTGTAAAGTGGTTTTCATCTGAATTCTTCCAGTGGAAAGTGATCTCTAATAGATTCTCATTATCTGGGCTCTTCTCCATTGCACATTACAAAAGGAACTCCAAAGGTTTTTCTCCTCAGCACTCAGCACATTGCTGGGGGAAAGCTCCAGCTTGTTAAGCCCAGGATTTTCAAACACATCTGAATGACAGAATGGGATGAGATTGTAAATTATTAACAGTGTGCTTGTCACATCAATTAGCAGCCCATGGGCTATAAATCAATGGCTGTGGGTTATATTATGCTCACACATCCTCTGGTTTATCATCCCTAATGAACCTCAGGAGAGATATTGCACTGCTGTCAGGACTCTGGGGAACTCTCCCACCGGTCCAACCTTGTCTTTGCAGCAAGTAGAAAATGAAGGAGCTGGAGGAGCTGGAAGATGATCAGTGCATCACTTACCTGGTCATTCAGCTGCACAAACAACCACAGAGCAGGAGCACAAACAGTGCTCTCATTCCAGCTCAGATCCCAAGGTCAGGCCAACCGAGAGAAGCAAGAGTTGCTGCTCCAAAAGAGTGGGGCCTCCTTCAGCTTTACCAGGATCCAGGAGGAGAGGAAAAGCCCTCACGTTGCACCAAGGAAGGTTTAGAGTGGATTTTAGGAAAAGGATTTTCACAGGAAGGTTTGAAAAAACATTGGAAGAGGGTGCCCAGGGCAGTGGGGGAGTCCCCATCCCTGGAAGTGTTCAAACAATGTTTGGATGGGGCACTGAGGACGTGGTTTAGTGGTGGACATGGTGGTGATTGGTGCTGGGCTGATGGTTGGACTCCGTCTTAGAGGGATTTTCCAACATTAACAATTCCATAGTTCTATGATTAAGCTCATGATCACTGAGCAGACTATTACAAGTTTTTTTTCTGTCACAAACACTTCCCAATTTCCTTCTCACTTCTGCATCAAAGTGAGCTGGAAACAGCCACAAGGACTCCACTCTAGGTGTAATCCAAGTTCTGGACAGGGAGAGCCACAGAATCTGTTCAGAGGAGCTGGGGCAATTTAAAAACTACTGGCCAAAAGATTTTAGGGAATCCATGCTCAGTGTGGAACTAAAAGTTAAAAAAAACCTTAGTATTTTCTACATTCAGTGAAAAGAATTTTGGTTTTTCCTACATTCAGAACCCTTGAATAAATGTTGGTAAAGATGGGCCGAGGGGAAGACAAAAATACTTTAGGCCAAGCTTGGAGCCATCCAGAGAAGATCAAGCCCTCAAGAGTGAGATGAGAAGAATGAAATTCTGGTAAAAGGGGCTGTCACACACCTTCGTGGTCACGGGAATAGAGTCCCGTGGGAATATGGGCAGGGATTTCCCCAAGACCCAACAAGCCAAAACACCCCTGGGGGTACAGGAGGTTATGGATCATTCATGGAGGTCTTTTCACTGAGCTGTAGCACCCCGAGTTAGTGCTGGGTAGGACTCACATCACCCAGGCTGGGGGGTCCTGCAGTGTGGTGGGAACAGGTCCTTGTGTCCCCAAAGCACACGAGTCCCTCCTTGTTGCTTCCACCCTGCGACTGCCTCGGCTTCTGTTCCCTCCTCACCAGACTCAGCATTTCCATGCTTCCTCTGGAATGAATCTCTTTTCCCTGGCACAGGTCTGCCCAGGAGGCTGAGATCCACCAGCCTGCTGTGGAAGGGCACCACGCAGGACGCCCTGGCTCTCCTGAAGGATGATGTGCTGGTGGCTGACCCAGGAACCAGGTCAGATGGATTAATTTATGGGCTTTCAGCCACATCCACATCCATATTCACACTGTATCCCTGTCTCTCCTTCATCCCTCCCCTCTCTCTACCATGTCATTCCACAAAATGTGAATTTTCCCCTAAATGAGAGACATAGCCACTATTTTGTCATATCCATATCCATATCCACATTCTATCCTCATCTCTCCTCTCTTTGGCAGATCAGATGGATTAATTTTAGGAGCTTTTAGGAGTGTGTTCTTCACTCTTAGCCCCACCTGCAGCCTCCATGGCCAATGGATAAACCTTCCCAAAGGCAGCTTCAGCCACCTCCCCACACACCTGTCTGAGGCTGATGACCTTTGTGGGTCCCTTCCAACTCAGAATATTCTGTAAATCTGTTTTTCATTTTTTAAGTCTAGATGAGGCAAGTTAAACTGCCATAGTTGGGCCCAATAAGCCTTAAATGCAGGTTTTCTGTGGTGGAAATGTTAATTTAAACAGTTTAAAACATCACAGATTTCAGTTAAAATCGTGTCTGTAGTCACTTGTATGTCTCCAAATTATCTATACGGTCTGTGAATGCTTTTTGTAATTTCTGTGGCCTGTTAAAAGTCCATTACCTGAGTTGCAAACACTCAAAAATATCATGAAATCACAGAATCCCAGAATGGTTTGGGTTGGAAGGGACCTTAAAGATCATCTTGTTCCACCCCTCTTCCACTAGACCAGATTGCTTCAAGCTCCATCCAACCTTGGACACTTCCACACTTCCTTAAACAGCATCCAGTGAACATCAGGTGAGAGAAGGGATTACAACTAACTTGGCAACATTTTTTCCAAGTCTGCAAAGTGAAATCCTGAAATAATTTGCCCAGGATGGCTGAGGATCTACCATGGCCATGGAGGAGGAAAGCTCAGAGGTTCCTTCACTGCTGTTAATTCTCTCCCATATCCTGTAGGAGGCTACAACAGATATCCCTTAAAGGATTTTAAGACTTAAATACCATAATTTTCGTTGATATTTTTATATCTTTATTGGTATTATCTTTATTGATATCTTTATATTGTGCTCCCCATGAAGATACACAGGGACATCCCCTCATAGTCTCATAACATCTTAATAACTTAATAAATATCAACTTAATGTTGATAGTTTTAATTTTGTCCCTGTTCCTGGACATACTTCCCAAGGGAAGTTCCCATTTATTGACACAGACATTTTAATATATTTTTCTGTGTTGAAGTTCAGCTCCATTTCAGACATAAAATTTTAGATCCAGAATGTGTTTATTCTTAGGGTAATAAATATGCATGCTCATCATGCTTTTATTCAGCCAGATGGGCTGGAAAAGGTTGAAGTGGTACCAAATTTATGACCTAAATAGGCCTCAGTCAGATGAAAAAAAACAACAGTTGAAAAAAAACACAGTTGAAAAAAAAACAACCAAACAACCAAGCTGAAAATACAATTAATTTTGAAAATGTGTTTAAAAAAACTTGCTCATTCATGTCTTCATGCCATTAAACTCCATTCAAGCGTAAAGACTTAAATCACTTGATGGATATTAAAGACTGAAGCACTTCTTTAATGCCTCCACAGTGCTGGCTGCTGCTTTGTGGGCTTTTAAGTGCTCTTTAAGTGCTTTTACCATCTTAAGGTCGCTTAGGTGTTTAAGTGATTACACTAGAGTCAATCCCCAAAGAGGCTTACCTGGGATTTTGAGACCTCTAAGCAAACACCTGGAACTCTCCATTTGCTCTTGAAAAGAATGGATGTGTTCTTTGTGAACTGTTATAAACAATAAGTGAAGGTATGCAAATATACAGGAGTGTTCCTGTTCCATCCCCAGGTCTTTCTGTCCATCAGAGTTATAAAACTCTGCTGATGTTGCTGTAAAATATTTCTCTTTCTTGATTTAACAACAAGGAAACAACACAGAGCTTTTCTCTGTCTCTCCTTCATCTCTCTTTTGAGCATGTGATTTCATAAAATGTGCTTTTTCCCCTAAATGAGAGTCATAGCCATTGTTTTTTCATACCCATATCCACGTTGTATCCCTGTCTCTCCTTCATCTTTTTTTACCATGTCATTCCATAAAATGTGAATCTTCCCTAAATGACACATAGCCACTATTTTTTATCATATCCACATCCACACTGTATCCCTGTCTCTCATAGAATCATAGAATCAGCTGGGTTGGAAGGGACCTCTGAGATCATCAAGTGCAACCCCTGATCCACTTCTGCTGTGGTTCCCAGCCCATGGCACTGATGCCACATCCAGTCTCTTCTTAAAAATCTCCAGGGACGGAGAATCCCCCACTTCCCTGGGCAGCCCATTCCAATGGCTGAGCACCCTCTCTGGAAAGAAATTCTTTCTAATATCCAACCTAAACCTCCCCTGGCACAACTTGAGACGCAGCCCTCTTGTCTTGCTGATGGTTGCCTGGGAAAAGAGACCAACCCCCCCCGGCTCCCCCCTCCTGTCAGGGAGTTGCAGAGAGTGATGAGGTCTCCTTCATCTCTCCTCTCTCTTTAGCACATCATTCCCTAAAATGTCAGTACCCCCTAAACAAACAGACGCAGCCCCCGTTTTGTCCCACCCCCACTGGGTAAAGCTGATCCCGAGATATTCCTCCTCCTTCCCAGGTGCCACTACAGCAACCTGGCCTTCTCCCTGCTGGCCCACGTGCTGGCCGAGCACGGGGCCGACGGGCAGTACCAGCGCTGGATCTCGGAGCACATCCTGGACCGCCTGGGCATGGAGGACACGGGGTTCGACCTCACGCCGCCCATCCGCTCCCAGATGGCCGTGGGCTTCTACGGCAGCCGCCAGCCCGCCCCGCTCTACGACCTGGGCTGGTACAGACCCTCTGGGCAGATGTACTCCACGGCTGCCGACCTGGCCAAGCTGGCCATGGTCTTCTTGGGCACCTACCACCGCCGGCTCCTGGAGCCTGACACGGTGAAGACCATGCTGACCCCGCTGCTCAAGTGCTCCAGCGACTACTTTGCCAACAAGACCGGCACGCCCTGGGAGATCAACGAGCAGCTGGGCTACGATGTCATCAGGAAGGATGGGGACCTTGATGGCTACTCAGCCACCTTCTCTCTTATCCCCAAGCTCCACCTGAGCTTCATCGTGCTCATGTCAGGGCCCAGGCCTCAGGGTGGGGATGTTGTGACTCAGACTTATGAGTATCTCATTCCGGCCATGGAGACGGCTTTCCGGGAGGCAGAGAAGAGCGTGGTCCCCCCTCCAAACCCCATCCCTTATGTTGGCTACTACACCTACTCCAACCTGACTTTCTATGAGATCAAAGTTGGCATTGGTGGGGTGCTGATCATGCAGCAGTTTGGGCCTCACGTAGAAGAGCTAATCCCCGAGAAGTATCGGACAATCAAGCTCCACCACCTGGAGGATCGTGTATTCCAAGTTGTTTTTGACAAGGAGTTCCCGTGTGTCCTGCGCCTGGGCTCTGCCTCCATCTCCCTGGAGACCCAAAACGGGCAGCTCTTTAACTTTTACCCCTTTGACCGCAAGGGTTTGTCTCCTGGCTTCGACGCCCCGGGGTTGAACACCTACAATGTGGTGCGTGTGCTCCGCAAGCCCGTGTTCTACAGCTAAGCACCCCCTGCTCCCCTCACCTCTTCTGGGAGGTGGCTTCAAATCTGTGTCTTACCAGACTCTGGTCGGCTCCACGGAAGCCACTTAAAAGGGAAAGGTGGTGGCAAATGGCTCTTTTGCCAAACAAATACTCCTAAAATGACTTCCCGCTTCTGACATGGCTTTAATGGCTGGCAACCCCCCAAAATGCACAACAGGCCAGCTGGAGATGCCTGCAGAACATAAAAAAGAGGTGGGAATGTGCTGAGGGGATTGTGTTTGGATGCCATAAAAACAAAGCTGAGCACTGAAGTGTCCACACTTTCGTTGTCTGTTTGATGACCATTGTAGTTATCAACTGGTATCATCAAAGGCTGGAAATGCCCTGTGTCTCTCAGAAAATCTCTCTTCTTCAGTCCAGGGGTTTTTCCACAGCTTTTCAGGAGCCCATCTACCACGAGCAAGATCCCTTACCTGGGTTTGCCAAAAGCCTGATGTGCTAAAAAATGGCCCCACACCTGATCCCAGGCCCTGCTTGGGACCCCTGGGATCCTTTTTTTCTCCAGGTCACAAGGAGGAAACTGTGAAAAGAGCAGAGAACAATGTGGTCTTGGCTCCATGGATTTCTCCAGAAGTGGTGGTCACACCAAGGATGTTGTAGCACTTCAGCAGAGAAATAGAAGCTCACTCTTGTGGGCAGGGCCACATGAACATAAGCTGGGACATTCCAGCTGGACTCAGGCCTGTGACTGTCTCAGTGTACAGGAAAGGGTGGGTGATGTTTAACCACAGGAGTGTGTGGGAATCTTTCTGGGTGTTTTGGGCAGGGTGTCTGTCTGCAAATGTCCCCAGGTGTGAGTGAGGATGCTGAGGGAAAGGACGTCATCCTGGGCAGCCCTGCACTGAGGACAGGAGCACCCGCAACTGCAAAGCCACAGGTGCATTTCACCCACAGGTGAAACAGGGGATCCAGGTCACAACAACCCCAGGCAATGCTCCAGGCTTGGGGAAAAGGGTCTGGAAACCTGCCTGGGCAGAAAAGGACTTGGAGGTGCTGGTTGACGGTGGCTGAACATGAGCCCAGGTGTGCCCAGGTGGGCAAGAAGGCCAATGGGCTGTACCAGCCATTGTGTGGCAGCAGGGCCAGGGCAGTGCCTGTCCCTGTGCTGGGCACTGCTGAGGCACCTCACAGTTCAGTTCTGGGTCTCTCACAAGAGAGGACATTGAGGGGCTGGAGCGTGTCCAGAGAAGGGAACGGAGCTTGGGAAGGGTCTGGAGCAGCAGGAGCAGCTGAGGGAGCTGGGGGGGCTCAGCCCTGGAGAAAAGGAGGCTCAGGGGGGACCTTTGGCTCTGCAACTCCCTGACAGGAGGGGGGAGCCGGGGGGAGTCAGGCTCTGCTCCCAGGGAACAAGGGACAGGAGGAGAGGAAACAGCAGTTTAAGCTGGAAAACCACAACATTTCTTCATGGAAAGGGTGGTCAGGCATTGGAACAGGCTGCCCAGGGCAGTGGTGGAGTCCCCATCCCTGGAGCTGTTCAATGAATGTGTGGGTGTGGCACTTGGGGCCATGTTTTAGCAGTGAACATGACAGTGCTGGGTTGGTGGTTGGACTCAGTGATCTTGGAGGTCTTTTCCAACCCTGGTGAATCAATGATTCCATGTTGTTAGTGGCCAACAGCACGTCCCTGTGGCGGGAACAGTGTCAGGCACAAGTGCAAGACAGGACAAGTCCCACCAAATGTGGAGTCCTGGCTCCTCAGTGCCCCTCCACATTTAAGGGATACTGTGGTTGCAGCCCTTAACAGAAAGCAAAGCAGAGGGTCAGGGCAAGACAGCTCTGACCACCTGAAAGGGAATATCCAACTACAGAGTAGCTGAGGAGCATGGAAATGCAGAGGGAGTGCAAAAGGTGCCCTACCCAAAAGGTTGTGCAAAATCAGACACCCTCCAAAGTGTGTGTCCTCCCACACCATAACTGGTGTGGATCCTCTTGCAGGGCAACATCCTCCTGCTGTTTGTCCACACAGAGTCTTGGAGGTGGACATGTCTCAGAGAGGATGATACACCTGCCTCCCCTCTCTCTGGTTGTCTCGGTGTTCTCACTCTGTGTGCTGCTCCTCAGCTTCAGTTTGCAGTGGAGAGGCCATCACTGAAAGCCCAGAAATCCTTGATTCACAAACTCAGTTCCCTGCCTTTTCTCAGACAATTCCACTTCCCTGATCAGCCCACGGAATCATGGAAACCTTGCCTTACAGGGCCGCTGCTGTGTTGGCTTCCTCCGGACTCTGTACCTTGTACAACCTTATATGTTCAAGTGTTTAACCTGGGCTGTAGCAACAGCAATAAAAAGTTTGCAAATGCCTCTTGTCCTGCCTGGTCCTGCCCTGGGGGTGTTGTACTGTGGTGGATTTCCTGTGGAGGTGCCTCCACTGCCATGACACACCTGACACAACTGAGCTTTCTGGGCTCCAGGACGTGATTTTGCGATTGCAAAATATTTGAGTGGTCTAACTCTGGTCTTTTTGAGTGAGGGCTGAGGGCCAGCTTGGGGCTGTTCTTCCTGCTTTGAAACAAAATAATTGATTGTTTACCCTCAAAAGCTTCCGAGAAAAATTAGGATTTAAATCCCATGTCACTCACTGGCCAGGAGGAAACACCACACTGGACTCCCCCCTCCACCTGACGGAGAGGTTTTACTTTTCCATCAGAAATGCAGACACTGACAAATCTCCCCTGTTCTAATGAGTCACCTTCAGACATGTACATTTTGGGAGGTCCTGGGGGTCCTGGTGGGTGGCCAGTTGGCCCTGAGTCAGCAGTGCCCTGGCAGCCAGGAGGGACAACCCTGTCCTGGGGCACCAGGGAGGGGATTGTCCCGCTCTGCTCTGCCCTGGGGCGGCCTCACCTCAACATTGGGGCTGTTTGGGGGGACACAGTGTCAGGGAGATATTGAGCCATTGGAGAGTGTCCAAAGGAGGGACAGGGAGATAGAAAGGGCCTTGATTTGAAGCCGTGGGAGGACACTGAGGGCACTTGGTGTGTTCAGCTGGAGAAGAGGAGACTGAGGGGAGACCTCAGTGCAGTTCCAACTGCCTGGGCAGGGGCAGAGGAGGGGCAGGGACTGAGCTCTGCTCTGGGGGGACCAGGGACAGCACCCAGGGAATGGCTGGAGTGTGTCAGGGCAGGGTCAGGTTGGATCTCAGGAGAAGGTTCTTCCCCCAGAGGGTGGTTGGGCACTGCCCAGGCTCCCCAGGGCAGTGGGCACAGCCCCAAGGCTGCCAGAGCTCCAGGAGGGTTTGGCTGATCCTCTGGGGCACAGGGGGTGACTCTTGGGGATGGGCCTGTGCAGGGCTGAGGGTTGGACTGGATGATCCTTGTGGGTCCCTTCCAACTCAGAATATTCTGTGCTGTGATTCTGTGACTATAACTAGAGGTGGTGGGATCTGAGCTGGGTTTAGCAGATGAAGAGGGGGCTGAAGGATCAACTTACCAGCAGCTACATCTACTTGGAGGACAATTATAAAGAGGACAGAAAAGAGCTAAGTGGTACCAGACAGTCCAACAAGGGGTAATAGCCACAAATTGCACATTGGGAGGTTCGAGGTGGCTTTTAGGAAAAAACCCCTCCCCAGATGTCTCTGCAGCCCTTGGACAGGTCATTAAAGACAGGTATTTCCACCCTTTGGGGGTTTTTGTCCAATATTTGGACTGGCAAAGGCTCAGCCATTGTGATCTAGTGTAGGGAACACTTCCCTGCTTTAAGCAGGACATCCTCCACAGAAATTCCTTTCATCCCTGTGGCCAGGTTGGATCAGACCAGCTTGGAACAGAAAGAAACAGTAGGACCATTTCTAAAACACTGGGACATGAACCTACATGACAAGTGTAGATGTGGGACAGGTAGAAAAGGACTCTGATCCTCTGCTCAGCTCTTCCACACATCTGGATTTTTGGCTTTGGAGGATTTATTCACAGTATGTAAGTATTTTTTTCTGTGGAAAGGAGAGTCATGGAGCACATCTGACTAATGCTGTCCATCTCACACTGGTATGAAAAATTACTGGTCAATCCCCGCTTCTGGCAGTGTCCAAGACACTCTCCCAAAAACCTCCCTGGAATCAGAACAAACACTGCCCATGTGTTTCCCCTGCTGCAAGTCAAGTTCAGCCTCTTTCCATCAAAGAAAAAATAGCCAGACATATCTGGTGTGAGTGGTTGGAGCCCTTCCAGCTTTCTTGGCTGCAGATCCAGCTCCATGTTCTAGGCAGTGCTGGGAGATCTCACCGTTCCCGTGTCTTTGCTCTGGGAATGAAGGTCACAGGAGCAGCAGAAGGAAGAGCTTTGTCCTGACTTTACCAGTAAAAACTGTTTCTCCCCAAACAGAGAGGTTTGGGCCTTGTCAGGTACCTGCTGGCCAAGCCTTTTCTCTTGGGAGTTCACAGGATGTGGTGAAATGCCCCAGGAATTCCACAGGAAAGGAACCGCCCTGGGCTCTTGGTAGAAGCATCAGTTTTATGAGATTAATTTTATACAAAAGAGTTCAATAATAAACAATGTGTTTTGATTGTATCTAAGGCAATTTTACAACCTCTTCACTATTTGCCCAGAGAAGCTGTGGCTGCCCCACCCCTGGAAGTGTCCAGGGCCAGGTTGGAACAACTGGGATAGGGGAAGGTGTCCCTGCCCATGGCAGGGAGTGGAACAAGGTGAGCTTTAAGGTCCCTTCCAACCCAAACCAGTCTGGGATTCTAGGATATGGTTCTATTTTTTTCCTGTTATACAGGAAGACGTTCCCAAGCCCTTTTATTCCCAGACCCCAAGGTTTTGTTTGTTTTTTTTTTAACCTGACAAACCTTAACAAATTCACTTTTTCATCTGGAGGTGTCCATGGGCAGGGACACCTTCTACCATCCCAGGTTGCTCCAAGCCCTGTCCAACCTGGCCTTGGACACTTCCAGGGATGGGGCAGCCACAGCTCTGGTCCTCAGAGACACCATTTGGATGGTGGAACCTCAAACAAATGACAGGAGCCAAATTTATCCCGAGGAGTCCTTTGATTATCTCTCTACCAAGGCTTAATTTTTATGTTCTGCACATGGAAAAAAAAAAAAAAAAACCCACACCCCAGAAATGGTTTGCAGGGCTGTCTTTCCTATTGATATATTACAGCAAAAAATCTTGTGCCATCTGTGCTGAGTTTTTCGTATCAGAATGATACAGAGTTCTTAATATCAGAAAAGAGCAGGTACTGAGGCAATGAAGCCAAACCTCCTAAAATGGGAAATTTCAATTGCACTGTATAAAGATGTAGTTTTCTTCTTTTATTTAGGCTGCACTTTTTTTTTCTTGAACAACTAGGAAGCATTTTCTGATGAATCACTGATCCTTCTTTTGTATTTGGAAGCTGAGAACAACAACTTTTTTTTTGTTTCCTGCACTGTCAGATACCGCAGTAAATACATTTTTTAAGTATTTTGCTTGTAGATGTAAATGCCTATAAAAAAACTGTAAATTCATGCAAGTAAATGCAAATACAGTCTCTTGAAGACAAAGAGACTGCCTATTCAGGTGTTTGGGGTGGTTTGGATGAAGCTGATGAAAACATCTCTTTGCTGCTTTTTACACCATTCACCACAGAGATAAGGAAACAACAGGTAATGGCTGGAATTCCCACAATTGCCCACTTGGGATTTCACTCCTGCTCTCACAGTCACCATTCCAGAAATCCTTAAAAAACTCACCTATGGAAAATAATCCTTAGGCTGCAGATTAGGAAAAAGCAGAGTTATCTCCAGGCTCAATCCCTGCTGTCTTGATGCCTAAACTGGCAAGGAAATGGGATTCAGTCCTGCCTATGGCCCACTGGAACACACGTGGCATGGGATATGGACCCTCTGCTGTGGGATATGGACCCTCTGCTATGGGATATGGACCCTCTGCAGTGGGATATGGACCCTCTGCTATGGGATATGGACCCTCTGCTATGGGATATGGACCCTCTGCAGTGGGATATGGACCCTCTGCTATGGGATATGGGCCCTCTGCCATGGGATATGGACCCTCTGCTATGGGATATGGACCCTCTGCAGTGGGATATGGACCCTCTGC